TAGAATCAGACCAAGTATTTCTGGCACTGCGAGGCTTATATTTTTAACAAATGTTCTCCTGTCTCTCTGTTGACAGATTTTATATGTATTCATTTATATCAACATATAGAGACACACACGTACACATGTAAATTCTTTCAAATAACGAGAATGAACAACTGACCAGTACTTGCTCTCATTTCTTCTAGCTGTCACCACTATTCCTCAAATGAAAGACGAAAATGGTAAGTTTTTGTGTGTTTTTTTTTCCCTCCTGTTCATCTTAACCTTTGAACTTCCTGGCATTAAAAATCAGAATGCCTGGGTACCGCAGAATAGGCTGACTATGATATTTTAAATTTGTCCCTCATTTCCTAGGAGTCATATTAATACATCACCCTACTGGTTTTGTTATGAGGTGACTATAAATTAGAAGGCACAGTGACATGCTCTGAACTAGTTTAACAAACAGATTTCTTTCATTTGTCTCTCTTTTCTTTCCCTAATGTCTGTGGAAAACATGATACCAACTTACTTCTATCTAGATGGTTGTTTTTCCTTCGTCTTGGTCCTTGCTAGTAGCTAATAATATGAACTAGTACTTACTGACTAACCAAGTGCTTTTTATAAAGAAGGCCTTGGGCTGTGTTCTACATACATTTTCTTGTTTAATCCTCATAATATTGCTATGAGATGGTACAATGTTTTATTCTTCCATTGTATAGATGAGGCAGTGAGCTAAAATAATTTAAGTCCCTTACACATGTCACACAGCTAGATCTGGGATTTCAAATCAGGAAATTGAATAAGGTGTTCATACGCTTATTAAGTTGTCTATTCCTTCTCTAAAATATAGTCACATAGCAATAAATTCCGAAGCCTGAGCCCTGAGACACCATGGATATACTGTGGGGGTGGGCAGGTAGATGGGCTTCAGAGACCCACAGACTGGAATTTGACCCTAGAACTTTTAATTATTAGTTGCATGAATATGGGTTCATGACCTACATTTTGGGAGTAATGCTTCTCTTATCTCCAACTGGAATAACTACACCAAACTCACAGTTATTGAAGAGATAAGTGCAGAGATGTGAAAGGTCTTGCTTAGCCTCAGATTTATCATCTAAATTACTAAAATCATATGATTTCTTTTTAGAATTGTCATCTGAGTTCCATAAAACAGCATCCACAACAGCACCTAGCAACCTAGGACACGGTAAGTGCTCAAAAAGAGTTTCCATTTTTTATGCCTTGATTTGATTGGAAAATGAGAACATTCATGCATCTTTTAGAAATATTCTATCAGGCAAGCAAAGTCACTCACTTCAATCTTGCTACACATGCAATTCAACATACAGACAATGAGTTCATAACAAGCAAAATGGTGTTCACCTGAAGAAGCCAGAGCATAGCTCATCAAAAACCAGAATCACTTTGGCTACTGCAGTTTTAAGGCCTTGGGTTTTTCTGGTTTTTATTTTCTATAACACTATAAGGTAAATTTTCGTAGTTAAAGATTGGTGAGGCTAAGGTGTGCAAACCCCCCTCCATTCTCCATAAGGAATGTATTTCTTGCCATGGGTGGATGCAGCTCAATGAATGTTTATTGCCTTGCTAGCGTATGCCAGCCCTAGTGGAAACGTGGAGGAATAGATTAGTGTGAGTTACTGTCCCAAGGAGGCGGCACTGCAGTGAAGACAAAGTATCCTTTTCGTAATCACTCAGGTCACTCGTGACTCAGGCACGATATCCCGAAAGAGCCCCTCGGATGCAGATGTGTGCATATCTAGACAGTTGGGCTGCCTGTGCCGTAGGCTGGTGGTCCAGTCCCTTACTGTGTTTCAAAGCTCTGAGTAGCAACGTAACAGTCCAAAGTCCCCCCTGTGCCCGTGAAAAGACCTTGTTTTGTACTTTTCCTTGTGGTTAACAAGCTCTTTTGAACACGCTCTTTTGAGCTCTTCCCAAAACATGGGAAGACCTTTGCCTTGCACCAGTCTAGATTTCTCAAGTGAACCTTTGCCCTCTGGGATCCTTGGTTTCTGCAGTGATCAAAGGCGGATTGAACCATTACGTTGACTTTCCTCCAAGACTGTGTGAGAGAGAAAAGGAAACAAAGTCACAGAAAATGCTTGATTTTGGAAATATAGCATGGATCTTTTCATTCACATATTTATTGTGTTCATTCACGGCCTTTCCTAAAACTAAAGTAAGATTACAAAACTGGCCCTGATTTTCTATTTCTATTGCTAACAATAAAGAGAAATCAAATGTGCGAAGCGCAAGGTTAGCATAACCACTGTGCTTAAGTGTCCAAGGAGGTTCTGATTTTTGCAGTTGGGGAAAAACAGAAAGTACAGTAAGACCCAGAGTAATGAATATGATACAAGAGAGAAGTTCC